AATCAATAAGCTTATGCAACGAACGAACGCCTACGCAATTATAATTTTAGAAATCCATGTTGGAATTTGTTTTTCACTCGAGGTAGGAGTGTAGCTGCCTGAGTGTGGCAATTTTGTAGCTATATATCTATTAAAACGGAGTACACGATAGGCATACCTTTACGTGGTGCACCGTGAGAGCATATACTCATACGCCAAAAGAAGCCTATAAAGCGCAGTTGACTTTGAAGTAACATGACCAGACTGTATATTATATTTGACCACTTTCACAGTACTCATCTTACTTTTTCTCCACCTTTGTGTCTGTCACTTTCCATCTGTAAATCACTCTTCCGTTCTCCCTCTCGAATTTTGTGAATTTGATGTATCTATCCTCTGTGAAGCCAGAAGTCAATTAAAGTGTTGATGATAACTGTTATAAAACCTACCATGTGATATCAATAGACAAACACCTACTAAAAGGCACCTTTCAATTTTATATATATATATATATATATATATATATATCGGAATTGAAAATTGATTATTAGGAAAGGTTGAATGTATTTTGAAACATTATTAGTGGACATATGTTTTGTTGTATCAGAACTAGTGATCTTTCAGTTGTCAATTGATTTATGGAGCTCTTTTGACAGGCTTAACGTATACTGTACATTTGTTTATATGCTACAATCGAATTTGGTTAGCGGATTAATTTAACTTAAGAGGCTGCGAATGAAAAGATAGGAATAAGTGTATTATTCAGATAGTTCAGATCGGAGACATAAATTTCGTCGATGGAGGACTCTTTAGATATCCCTATTAAACTCGTCTTTACAACTCAATCCCTTCCTCCTAAACCCTATTGGTTTACTTACTACCACCAATAGTAGTAAACTGTAAATTCGTTCTTGCTTATAGTTGGCTATAACCTAGCAACACTGCGTTCTGAAAATCCATGTTTAATGATGTGAAAAAGTATTGTTGCAGCTGTAAAACTTGTTAAATAATAGTTTGGTGCCATCATCACTTATTTAAAAGTCTTATCCTACCCCTTAAATGGAAAATAGAATGCTGACAAAAAATTCTCATCTTTGTATCTGCTACTTTGTATTTACTTTAAACAATCAGTTTTAAGACCACCACTATTCATTTATTATTCTCTTGATATGGCATTATAAATGCGCATATAAGCCAATGGTAAAGGTTTATAATGAAATACTGAAATGTTAGTCTTTCCATACTAAAGTGATAAAAGTTGCAAAGTTCTTCCGCTGTTTTTTTGTCTTTTTACAACTTCTTACTATGCGATATAGCATATAACCCAAATGTAGAACACCCCTCTCCTTGAATTCTACAACAAAATAGTTTTGTGAGATATATATGTTTTTAAAATGATTCACACCTAATACCTGATGAAATGAATCAGCAAAATGGAGTCTAATAAGAATAGAGATGACGCAATCTATGCACATAATACACCATTAGTATATTCCTGTGTAGTTTGTGAAGAACGCAACTCTACCAGAGCTGATCGAAGGATTTTTATTCGCACCAAAACATTCCAAAAAAGTATGGTCGTGCGTGTAGAAAACCCTTAACCATTGGCAATCGGATTCGCGCGATGTGAAATAGAATTGGTTGTATACAATGACTAAGCATATGGATAGTTTATCGTACATGAGTTGCAATAACCTCTAATCGCTCCGTATGCTCTGCTTCCTGGATAATGCTGAGAGAATATTGTTGAGGTTTTGTTAAGACTTTCTGTGGTACCCCCAACAACTTACAATGACATACGTGTTACGACAAGCTCAAATGAATCATCTATACTTCAGGTCCTTTCACATTATCGTTTAATTATCGATTTCTCTCAGCTTATTTACACTACGACGAATGCACTTTCCGAAGCAAATTCGCACTCTCGCACGTCCTGTAATGAAAACAGGACATTACCAATGGTCCAATATCACGAAAGTCATAAGGTTTAAATGAACTAATCAATCAGTTTATGCGATATTGTAAGGGATTTAACTTCACAAGAAAATATATTGTTAATGCTTAATGTCTTGACTTATCCTACTGTCACTTGTAATGTCAGAAGTGTAACTTAGCTAACCTATATGTCAGAAATGGATGAAATCCCAATCTTGAATAGTCCAATTACCTGCTAGTTTAACATAAAGTAGCACAAGTGAATGAATACATCTCCCCGAATTGGATTGTGACTTGAGTGCATTAACTGTGTAATATTATGGAAGAGCTGTGGAATTACAGAAGCTAGAGAGAGCACCTATTTGCCTTCAAATTGAATTCGAATTTGAGCCTCCTTTTGGGACAATAATTCCTCTTGGAAATACTCACCAAACAGAAGTATGGTGATCTTGTTAAAAGAAATTAAATGAAAAATTATCTTCTTTGCAACCATCCATGACAGGTAAAAATTTTTTTACCACTTAATAATCATCGTGAATTTGCAAACTTCAACTTTTATCATTTTCAAGTGAATTTTGGCATCTTCTAGATAAATCTATATATACCTCCCTGTCCCATAAAAAAGCTAAAATGGTTGTAAAAAAGGTAGACTTCTCGAATTCTGTCACTATTAAACGAAAGTATAAAGAAGAGAAACTGGGATTTATTAATTTAAGGTAAATATTGCAAACAAAAATAGTCAGAGTTGAACCATCATTCCATAATTCTACGTGCCAACACTTAACGCTATTTGCAAAACTCGTGCATCGATGTTGTGCAATTCTGATAAACAAGCACGTAGGAATGAAGACGCGACTTAAGATAAACTAACATTCTCTAACCTTTTTTGCCAGGTATGCAATCTACTTAACCTAATCAATTCTAAAATTATAAATGTGGACATTTGTTGTTGAAACAACACAAATAAGCCTCTACTAAACCTCAACAATCCTCTTTTTTTCATAATCTCCCAAATTGCTAATAAATTTAACTAAGCCACCTCAACACTGCTAATGTATGGTACAAATGGCTTCAATTATAGCTTATAGGCTACCAACACGGAATTCAGTGGTTAAAGTACAATTAGGGTCATATTACGTCTTGGAGTCCATTGATCGCTGGTCAGCTGAGGGGTCTCTACACTCTCGCGAGACTCACGTAAACAATAATGTGGCCGCACATCCTAGGTTACTTTTTTCCCCGTAGCCTAGTTAAGTCTGAAATATCCCAAATTGGTAATGAAGACCCTCTTTCCAAGGCACTAATTTATGACCATGTAATTCCTATTATTAGTTAGTTAATTATGAATTGATACCTTGAGTATACTAATCAAAAATAGCGATTGGAGACTAAATAAATCAAAGCTTCATTTCAATAAAATAACCTTGGAGACATTGTAAAGCCCATTCGAAGTGAATGGCTACGTTCTACAGGAGTAATGTATCGCCAGTTGCTATGATGCCCATCATTGATGTTTTAGTTTTAGCGCGCAAATTCAAATAGAATCTTAACGTAACACCGTTTTTTAGCTTACTTCGTGTTTTCTTAAATTTTAAATAAGATTCAATAAGCAAAATGGAAGAATCTACCGTCTATTTAAAACTCAATAGTGCCAACACGATTAGTCTTAATTTGCACTGTTTTGAAGTTCTTAGGATTCGACATGATTCTAGTATATGGATTGAATTCACTTCTCTGAAGTTAAAAAACCACAGATTATTACTTAAGTACGTGACAATTTATACAAATCGACATTCCAAACAATACAACTGGCATTTTAAGTACGGTTGCCTTTTGGTGGATCCATCACAATCCATTATGGTCTTGATTATTTCGTAAATAATCAAAATGCTACTTTAATGATGAATTTTCAGATCAGAATTTAAAATTATAAATAATACTTAATAGATGTTCTATCATGTTCTAAGTTCCAATTGGGTATAGGACTTTCTTTCGTTCGAAAAAAATAATGTCATTTCATACAGTACATTTTGCAGATTGGTCACTTCTAATCGAAAAAATTCATTCCCTCTGCGAAAGTGGCTTATTTAATTTAGGGACTTCAGGTATCATTATTAATCAAAATAGCATTCAATATCATGACTATTAGGCTTATGTGGTAATAAGCTACCACCTACTTTATATCAGCCTTTAAGTACGACAAGCCTGATATAATCTAAAAATGTTTAAAATACACTTCGATGAGGTTGATCACACAAATGTCGTAAGTATGAAAGGCGGATATTTTTTCTTTTTTGACTCGCGCTTGTGTTCTCTTCCAACAAATGATTAGATTAATTGAAGCGTTCCTAATAAGCAAACTAGGACATCTGTACAGATGACAATATCAGACTCAAAAAATGTATTTAGTTGTGACACGACATTCATTTGTCTCTAACCCCAAATACTATATTTAAGTAGGGAGAACATTTAGGTAATCATATATTCAGATAGGTGACTATTAAGCACAATATGAGTTCTAGCCACAAAATAGGGAGAGAAGAGACTTTTAAACAGAGAGAAGTGTCTCATTTATACATTCTGCTAAACTTCTATTGATGTTCCTAAATGCGCAATTTTAAAAAGACCTGTGCACTAAATGACTCCAAATACACTCAAGAGATTTTAAAAATTACCATTTTACTTTCACACCATATTAATATGGTTGTAGATAGTAATGAGAATATATTAAAAAGAAATTTCTTTGTCAATGATATCCACTTTTAACGAACTAGCTCCCATTATCGTAGAAAGGAACAAATATTTCTGGGGTTCTTTTTTGCATTTTTATATTATTCATTTTTATAGTATATGGAAGTCATATTATAGATCAGCATTCAAATTGCCAAAAGTGTTTTTTCAAATGAAAGAATTTGTTTAGATTTAGTTTTTAGGATAACTAAATTCATAATTTGGATGATCGCTTTAGATATCTTTGAAAGTGGCTAAATTCAGGCGCAGGTTTGGTACGCATGACCTAGGCGGTTGTGTGGCAAATTTGTTTCCATTTTAGGTCATTCAATTTTTGATAAGACAAAAGTTTGAAAATGAATAAAATAGCTATCAGTTTTGCTATTGTCATATTTTCCATCTATCTTTTGCTATGTCCATATAACAAAGTCGAGGAATCATTTAACATTCAAGCCACTCATGACATTATATTTCACCGACTTAACGTCTCGCAGGTAATTCCATTTCCTTTTAACGATTCCAGTTCGACCATCTTACATTTTCCGGACCAGTTCCGCGTACGTTCGCGGGCCCGTTGGCACTAGCTCTGCCAAGTCTTATATTCTCTTATTTTGTACCCAAATCTATATTGCAATTTATGGGTGGGTTCATTTTGCTTCGGAATAACTCCCCATTAGTTAGGTTTATCCTTGGGCTAGTATTTCTTCATGCATCAATTAGCCTGGGTTCTGTGTTTAAAGATAAGCTGCGTCCGGAATTTACAGCCCGGTTTCTACTTATAACATTCACTCAATTTCATCTGCCCTTTTATTCGACGAGGACATTGCCGAACACATTTGCTTTAATCACCGGTAGTTTTAAAGCTTAAGTATAATTAAGATTTTCCTTTGTTGACTTCAGTGATATATGCCCTGACCTTCCTGTTAAAGGGTTCTGATCATCGTTTTATTATCCTTTCTGGACTCGGAATTCTTATTTTTCGAAGTGAGTTAATGTTATTCTACGGACCTCTTCTTTTATTTGGACTTTATTTCAATCTGGTCAAGATACGTCCAACACTAATAGTAACGGGAATCATTACCGTTCTCGCCTCTCTATGTGAGTCCATAATTTTATGCTCAATGTAACATTAGTTATAAATGATATAGTTTAAGAAAATTAGCCGCTTTAGAACTTATTGAAACTCATTGTCCAAGATATTTGAGGTGACGTCTGTTTGAGTCGAATTATCATTATTATTATAAGTGAAGACTGGTGCCCTGCCCTCAGTTTACCTTATAATTTTTTTAAAATCTATATTCATGTCGGCATATTGCTAAAATAAATCATGGAATTGATAGAGTGTTGTTTTGTTCAACATTAACTTATGGGATATTTATTGGAAAACTCTTAAAACCATCAAATCTTAAATATCTGCGCGTATTTGTTTCAGTTTATATTTTGGAACGAAGTTTTTTGTTAGGATTGCTGAGATTATTTGGAAATCGTTTGCTAACGAACCTAAATTCGTCACGAACCCCTAAATTTATTAAACAGTATTTATTTATTTCGCTATTTTAATTTTTCGTTGGTCGAATGAAGACAACAAAATCAGTCAGCTTCCCAACATGACCTGATTTTTCTTCCTTTGGTGCAACTCATCTAAGTCTCTAAATTCTAAATCACTTAAGATTATTAATTTTGCATGGGGATAGATGGAAGTCTGGTGAGGTAGCTTTTTGGTGGGTTTGGTCTTATTTAAAATTTGGTTACTTAAGTACATTTTAATCTTTCGACAAATCTGAAATCTGTTACTGGTCAGTATAACCTGGTGTTAAAGTTAATTTAATTAATTACATCTCTGTTTTCAAACTGAAACTTGCATATTTACTTGACTAATAGTGCAAATGATGATATACTGTGTCTTAAATGTAGGTTTTACCGTTGGTGTCGACTCCTTCTTTTGGCGACGCTGGGTTTGGCCCGAGGGGGAAGTTTTCTACTTCAACGCCATTGAAAACAAAAGCCACCTCTGGGGTGTATCCTCTTCTATTGGAAGAAAAGAGAATATATTCCCAGCCATCTATTTTTTATCACCTTGCTTGCATTTTGTTATTGCCTTAACTAAAATCAATTTCTCAGACGATGCCCTTCTATTGGTATTTCCTGATCGCTCTTCCAAAGGCTCTAATGACAACGTTTGGGTTAATTTTGTGCGCAAATTTTGTATTCCCTCTCTGCTCCTCGTCCTTTGATCCAATCAGTCGTGAGGGGCGAACTTTCTTCGCACTTGAGCTGGTCGCATTGATCTTCATTTCAATCTACTCATTTCTTCCTCACAAGGAGCTTCGATTCATCTTTTACGCTCTACCGATTTTCAATCTTCTGGCAACTTACTTTTGGATTTTCGTGTAAGCTTTATTATATGGTTATATTATTCAAAATTTAATTGAAACTTTCGTGGGATGGCTGCTGGCTTAAAATCCAATATTGGCATTAATAATACTCTATCACTTGATATTATATTATGATATTTCTTTTCAAAATCCTGCCCATGGTATATGGAATAATTCATTAAATTATCCCTTTGTAAAAATCTATTTCCATGAAGACGTAGCATTGTAATATCGAGACGGATCCATTAAGCAACTTTTGAGCTTTGCGAATCCGAGAGAGGTCAGGCTTTGTGTAATTGGGTCCTTATTTAATAGAAGATTATGACTGGTCAGCAAAGAGACGTATAGACTATTTGTAATTATGAAATTAATTCGCATTAATCGCCTATCATAAATTAGGAATGAGCTCCTTAAATTTTAGAAAAAAGTCGAACTTTCCTTGATTGCGAAAAGCCACTGCAGTTAAGAAAATAAGTCATCTTGGCTAATGCTTTGAAAATCAGTTAATACATAAATTAAATTGATAAAGGTAACTGCCTACATTTCTGCGCATCCCTAACCCAAACAAAACCCTTATGAAACTCGTGTAAACATTTTTTCTTAAGTTTTCTTTCATACTTTCTCTTCTCTATGGGCGGTATAATTCATGTGATGCAATCTTTTAGAGAGCGACACTGTTATATGTGTCTAGACGCGAGAACAGCTCGAGAGCTCGCTTCAAAAGAGACGTTAAGAGGAAAGTCTCCCACTAGCAAGTACTCACGGTTTATTTCCCCGGCTGTGGGACGGATTTGCCGTTTTACCGTCTTTCTCTTCTACGCCAGTCTAGTCTTCAATTTTTGCATCTCCCTTGGTCTTGTCTATGTCTCGTACTTCAATTACCCTGGTGGACAAGCCATTTCTCGACTTAATAATTGGCCTGGTTTGTCAAATCGAAATGGTACGCGCTCACCTATTTTATTTATTTATATCAAATGGCAGACGTTTTGATGGTCATAATTAGCCCTTTAGTTCACTTCAGGCTTTCCAGAGGGGAAGGAACATCAAAGTGAAAGAAAGTCGAGAGGGGGGGGGGAACAGAAGAGGGTTTTAAAGACGAAGGTAGAAAAAGTATAAAAAAGGGGAGGTGAGTACTGTGGAAGAGGTCGAATATGATATACAGTGGGGTGATGGTAGTTTGAAGTGGGAAGTTAACTGCCGGTTTATAGAATTTTTAGCCTGCATGTGTATACGTTGTTCCGGGTGCACCGCGTGGAGTTAAGTCTATCGCACACCCTACGCGCTCTCCTACTTAATTGCGTATAAGTAGGCTTATTTTAAAACAAAAAATCTGATCTTATCGTGCTCTAAGGTAATCAGTTTTCGGTTTTAAGCCGATACTTTTGCATGAATTGTAGCCTATTTACCGAGGATTTAGAATCAGCAAAGCCTTTTGAAGTTGAGAGAGAGAGAGATAAATAGAATGTACTTTATATTTTCCTCTCTTCCAACCTTACTATGCGAATAGTGTTTGCAAAGGCTTAACTGAGTATTAGACTATCAACTGAAAGTCTGGTTTAGCTAACTGCTTATTCAAGTGGTGCTAAACTGTCAGTTATCACTAATCAGGATGAAAATAAAAATAGCATTTGAATACATTCCTTTAGAAAAGGCACAGGTGTGGGTCTGTGTTGCAACATTTATTTAACGAAAGTCGCCAGAAATCTGAGAGACTTTTTTTGTGAATTACCGGTGCAAGATAAGGCATTAGATGAATGTGTGCCGGTGGTACAGTGATCAATGTGCTCGTCTACTAGGTCAGAGGTCACGAATTCAATGGCGGCGTAATGACCAACCGCATTTGTTAATCTGGACTAATAAGGGAGGGTGTGTAGGAATTAGTTTTTCTAAGTAGAGGGACTTCCTGATGAGATTCATCATAGGTGAATTTTCTGTGACTTGGGTGACCAACCACGCTTTTTATTTCTCTTTAAGGGGAGGGTTAGTTGAATTAGTTTCTTGTAATAAGGGCTTCAAATCAATTTTCTTCTATCCAAGTCACATGCTGCTAGCACTTTCAGAAATTTGTTTGGGAAGTTTTCTAAATGTACTTTGTAGTTATGTGAAGGAAGCGTCATTAGGATTGTTTTCACACAACGCTTAATTTTCCAGAGTGTTATTTTGCTGACAAATGTACTCACATCACATTTCTTATTTATTGAGTACTAGAGGTCTTAATGACCGGAGCTGAGTTTACAATGCTTCTTTTTAAATCAACAGCAGTAGGAAGGTGCGTAGGATTAGCACCTTAATCTTGAACTTTGAAGCGTCACCACCCTCATTGTCTTGCAAACACGCAGTATTGATGGACCATTTGTTTTGTTTTCTGTGCGTGGTAGAACAGCTAATCATACTTTGAGCGTAGTGGGGTAGTCTAATTTCTCGGTTAGCTTTGCTCGATTCCAAGGCTTTTTAGTCTTAATTATTCTTTATTACCTACAAGAGGTCTGTTTTGAACCCATCTTTCCTTTACACTTTCACCGGGTTGAAACCATTTCGATCAAAAGTTTGTATCTGCTCCTTTAATTAAGCCATTAGTAATAACCATATTTTTATTTTTGATTCAATTAGATATCCACGTATACATTAGCAATTTGGCAGCTCAAACTGGGGTCAATCGCTTTCAGGAGGTTCATTCAAATTGGATGTGAGTTTATTTATTTATACCTTTACAATTCACCTAATGAGAGGGGGTAAATTCTAAAAGCTTATTTTGGTAAAATCGAAGCATTTATTTTCAAATTTAAAATAATTCAACCTGAGCAAATGATTGGCTTATTTTCTTGTATCACATACGCGAATTTTATGAGTTGCGATCAACTTGTACCATTCAATTATATTCGAAATTAAAATGTTTAGTCTTGAAATTAAAAAAGTTCTGTGAAAAATATTCTAAAGTGTCGATGTCGAGGAGATGAATGCCGATTCTCACTGATATGTATGCATTCTTCTGAGTTTTCAAGGTATTTGAAATCACTCATACCTAAATGATTGGTCGGTTTAGCAATTTCGAGCAATTTAAAACCCAGAATTTAAATCATTTTTTTTCGCAGTAGCACACTCGTTATCGCTTAGTAACCCCATCATAAATGTGTCTAATTCTAAAATGTCTGCTCTTCAATGACTTTCTTCATAGTTTAAACAAACTTTTAGTGAACCCTCAATTTGTTTCACCTTATGCCTATCATTCATTTTTGGGGTTTTTGACTCCTTGAGGCAATTAGGTTTATTACAACACCTTTCAAGGTCTCCTTTTTTTCTCTCACCTTTACTACTTTCTCGACATATCAATAAAACTGGTGCTTAAAAGCGATTCTCTTTCTTTTGCAGCTACAATAAGACAGAAGGAATTGACGACAGTGCTAGAACTCTGCTAAATGGACCTTTTACACACTTCATATTGGAAGCTTCAAAGGACCGCCTTGAGGAATATTCGGTGCGGTTTCGACGTCTCTTCACTGTGGAATCGTTTTCTGGTCTCAACTTCAATTTGAAAGAAGCCTTGTGGAGTAAAGGTGGGATTCACATGAGTCCTGCTTTGGTAGTGTACGAAAGAATCGACGGGGCTTAGGGCTGACAATCCTGTGATTTTTTTCATTCGTATTTTTTTGAACTCATTAAATCGCTCAATTTATGTTATAGGCGTATTTTATTTGCCTTTGGGGATATCAAATGCCTAATTTAGGCCACATGTGTATCTAGACTTCAGTATGTAAGTATTTACTATGCACCCATTAACTCGATTTGCTCACTTTATTTCGTTTCTGTGCTCTTGAGATCGAAAGACTAAAAAATGACCAGTTGAAATTTGCATAATTTTGCTTTACCAGCATTGTTACTGATTAAGATTGAGGGACAAGATGTCGACGAAAGTGGCACTATTTGCTCTTTAAGTGGAGTTTGGTATCAGAACATATTCTTATTTTATTTCGGTATGATAAGTGGTAGGTGCGACAATTTTGACTGAAATAAAAATGGGTGTGGTGTAGCCACCCATTATGTAAAAAAAAGAAATGGAGTTACCCGAGAATGCCAATCTTGGGGTTAAGAGCGTTGATCCAGTTGGCCCCAGAACCCTTGAAAGAAAAAAACTGTCCTTAAATTCCCCAAAGCTGCTCCCCTCGGTGCGAGGGGAATATGAAGCGCAAATTGTAACCCAAGTTCTACAGTTACTTTATCTTTTGAAAATGGACATTTTAACGCATAGCTCTTACCCACTCCCCCAAAGGTTCTGCATAGTTATGCCTAAACAGTAACTGGCTACTTGGTTGATCAATTTAAGTAAATTTATGACATTAAAACAACTTCTAACTCTGTTGAAGGAAAGGTTATTTAATTAGTAATTCTCAAAAGGTAACCCACTGAAGATTTTTTTTATTAAAATAGACAATGTGTGAATAGATTCAAGTTACGGAGGGGGGAGAGAGGTTGAGTGAATTTGGAAATTTTGTTCTCTGCCATACTTCATATCACAATTTCAGATATCATTCAGTTCAATTCCCCGGAAAAGATTTTGACTTCCGAGAGTAACTTAGAATTCTTGCCTCGCCTCTGCATCATCTTTCTCTCTAGGCGTATTTGGGTTTATTTGTGCTGCCATAGACAATATGTTAAGGCACCTTGTCTCTTCAGCCTCTTTTCTACGCACGTCATTTAAGTGAACTGTTTTAAGTGTCTCGATTTTATATAAATTTGTATTTATATTTGTCTTGCGTAACCGCTTTGAAGTAGCACATTTTTCACCTTGTGTGATTTGTGATCTATTTTAGACAAAAAGCACTTTGCTTTACCATGCCACCTTAAATATATTCCCTTTGATCTGAAATTTTGTCATTATAAATGTGAAATTGCGTTTTTGGTTTATTTGAGAGGTCCCTATTTTCCCTATATTTCCACTACAATATCAAGGTAAAGCCAAACATCAACCAAACTTTTTGCCTGTATTTGATAAAGTGCTAAAAACCAATTTGGAATGTTAGAAAAATGATGATTTAAGGAAAGCATTTGTTTGTAGAATGTAGGCATGAGTAAGCAGGCAAGTATATTCACATTAAATTAATTAATTTAAATTAAGTCTGTACGAGGGGAAATTAAAGTTGAAATCTCCAGATCTTAAACGGTTGATCGAACGTATCAAGTTAACTTAATATGGTTGGCTGGGAAAAGGCCTTCCTTTCCTGTCTTTGTGTGGGCTCCGTATAACCACCCGGGTTCCTAAAAGAGACAAAATAATGAAGGATCGATGCTCATTACCTAACGAGGCAACCTATTGGGACCTCCTGGGATTCTGAAGGCTCACTTTGAAATGCTTATTAGATTCACGTGTGGGTAGATTAAAAAAGCAATAGAATGCAAAGAAATGGGAAAAAAACTAGAAAAGTGCATTTGAAGGGTCATAATCAGAGTTTCTGTTGGATGATCACGCATCGGTAGGCATTATTAGTGTAAACGTAAAGTAAAAAGTTTCAGGTCAAAACACGTGGCCAGATCAATCAAGTAAAAAAATAACACAAAGCACGATGTATGTGTAAACATTTGTACAAATTTGCGAGAGTGGAGAATAATCGAACATTCATTTATTAACGTACAGGGCTCCTGTACTTAAGAGAGTTATAGGAAATTTGGTTAGGAGAGTTATATATGCTATTATCAATTATTTCAAAGCCGACATTTTTAATCCACCACGTTTTGGAATCTCATATTAAATTTTGACAGCACAAGCTCTGTGTACTTATTTGAAAAAGGCAAATACTTCATTCGCAAGCCTTAAGTGTATAACAGAATATGATCTTTGGACTGACTCGTGAGTGCCTTCATACTTCAATTATGGGGTGTGCGATAGACTTACCTCCACGTGGTACATCCTGGGCAACGTATACCCATACGGCAAAAATGTCTATTAGTCGGTAGTTGACTTTTCACTTCAAACCACCATCACCTCACTGTATGTCATATTCCACCGCTTTCACTGTACTCACCCTACCCTACTCTCGGCCTTTGTGTCTGTCTCTTTTACATCTTTGAAACACTTTTGTTCCTCCCCCCCCCCATCTCGACTCTTTTTCACTTTGATGTTCCTCCCCCTCTGTGAAGCCTGAAGTCAACTAAATGGCTAATGATAACTATCAAAACACCTGCCATTTAATATATATAAATAAAATACTTCAACTATAATTGAAAGATTCAACAATTTCGTGAACATATTTTCTCATTCGAAATACGCCTTAGATGATTAAATTTGTCTACTTTCGAGTACTAAATACAATAACTTAGGCATGTTATTATCTGTTTAATAAAAAATAATCCAAAAAACTATTGGTTTTCGAATTTGAAACGAATTAGAAACATTGAAAAAAATAACTAATTTAAAATTACCTCGTCTTCGGGAGAAGGCCATTCTTTTACAGTAATCTCATCGCCAGCGTCGAATTCTAATTCATCTTCTTCTTCTGATTTATAAGCGAATGTTGCCACCACCTGCAATATTCCACGAAACAACTCGATTGAAATTTAGTGATTCAAAAAGAAAATGAAAGCTATAATAAAAGTAGAATTTAAAAGTCCCTAATCAATGGTAGGAAACTCTATCACAAACAAGACGAAAGGGGATCAAAGAGTATGGCACAGACATATATGCTGGAAGAACACAAGGAACGTAGTCATCTTAAGGTGATTAAACCGAAAAAGAATGAGAATAATTAGCGAGAAGCTTAATGACATAGGCAATTGGATTTATTGTGACCAATTAATTCGGGATTTAGTTAAGAGTGTTTGTGTCATATGATTGCTTTAATTTTAATACTTCTCATATGTAATAATCATTAGTGAGCGCACCAAAGGACAAATGTGCTTCTCAAAGTATCTCGATATTTAACTTGTTCCGATTAAAATTTAAACTTTCATTACTGGGTGGTTAATAAGTCTTCCAGGAATTTAACTAACCCTTCAAGTCTCACATTCAAATGCAGATAATAGAGATGAATGTGCTGCCAACGTTTGAGAACAATACTTGACTCACACAGAATAGCGTGAGAAAATTTGATTGTGCCAGAGTTTTTAAACATACCGCGACACGGTTTGACACACATGTTTGACATCAGACCACTCGGGTTAAAAGAGTGACTTTATTAGAAGCAAATCATCCGTGGAATAGTGCTTAACAGACAGACGGTAGATTGAAAATATCAAAAGCTGATTTTTTTTAAAATCTTATCACTCTGATAGCAATTTAACTAGTGTGACAAAAATCGAAATAGTACAGTTGGCAACGAAGAATTATCGTCTGTTCGCAATAAGGTCTTGATATCGTGAATTCGCTCAAAAATAACCTGGCGGATAAATCTGGGTATTAAAATCGGAAAATTGGCATACGAATCTAATTAGAAAGTGAGTTGGTATAAATTCGATAACCAAATGAAATACTGTTGATTACAATCCTCCAACTATACGCCCCTCACTCCAATCCC